TTCCTAGCTCTATTCCAGGCCCTGCGAGTTGCCACTCTGAGACCCTGCAGTCCAGGGGTCCACCTGAAAGTTCCTCTACTATTTGTAACCGCCCTTTCGGGACAATTATTTTCGTAGCAGTTTACCAGAGACCTCTGCAAGTAGTCCACACAGGTCTCCAGTTTGTCTTCTGTCCCGTGCCTTTTAGGGAAGCCTTTGAGACTGCTGGCCAGGTCTTCCCTATAGGAATCACACTTGGTTTTCCTCGGGTTCCTGAATTTAACCTTTTTCCCTCTAGCCTCAGCTATCCTGAAGGTGATCTGCCTATGGTCTGAAAACGAGGGCTCCGTCGAGACCCTCCACTTCACAACCTCCTGTATCAACTTCCTGGAACAGACAGTGATGTCGAGCACTTCTCTTCTCGCTATAGTGCAGAAGGTAGGCTCGTCTCCTGTGTTGAGAATCTCCAGATCCGTAGATGCTAGGAACTCCAACACTTTCCTTCTTCTTTTGTTGGTGTCCGAGCTTCCCCACACAGTGTGATGCGCGTTAGCGTCACATCCCATGATCAGGGGAAGCCGTTTCTCCTGGCAGTATTCTGCCAGTTTTATCACCGGTGCAGGCGGCACCGCCTCCCCCTCGTCATGAGAGAAGTAGGCCGAGCAAATAACCATTTTCTTCCTGTCACCGGAGTCATCAGTAAAATCTCCTTCCACAGCCGCAACGTCCCTGCAACACAGGTGAGGTATTAGCTGGGCTTCCATACCCTTGACGGCCACGCAGGCCCTGGGCCAATCCACTGATGGGGCCCTAAAGAGCCTACCGCAGGCCGCCAAGCCCCTAATGCAACCCCGGATTACTTAGGGTTCTTGCATCAGTGATATGCGTGTATGCCTCCCAGCATGTTGCCTGGCCAAAGCCGAGGCCTCTTTGCTGTGATGCAGATTAATCTGAGTGAAGGCCACCTCTCTCGATCCCGCCAGTTAACTACGAGACCGTTTTAGGAGACTCCTCTTTATCCCCCCTTACCCCCCTCCCCTGGGCACCACTTACCCGAAAGGCAATCCTGTCGAGCCCAAAGAATGATTTGAAGTCCAGTGTTCTCAATTTGAGGACACTGGACTCCGGGACACCGAGGACCAGATTCCCACCTTCCCTGGTGGCCCCTACCCTCCGCGAACACCTTCCAACTCCCGGTGACAAGACCTGGGTTCTGCTTCTCCAGCTGCTTCAGGACCGTGGCCGCGCTTTCGGGAGGTCCCGAAACCCAAACCACCGCCCTGTGCTGCTTTTGAAGCGCGTCCATGCCCATCACCCTGAGCTTGGCGCCCTCCCACGGAATGATGCCGCCGATCCGCCCCACGAGCCAATCCTGCGGCATCTAACCGCCGCCGCATTACTCCTTAGAGATGTGCTGTGGAATCTGGGCACCGAACCCTTTTTGATCGCGTCGATCTCTTTCGAGACCGCATCCCTCAACAGTGTCAACTGCTCTGCAGTGATTTCTGCTTCGGGGTAGCCCTCTGCCACAATCATCCTCGCCAGAGGGTCAGCAGCGTCCGAATAGGCATGGTGCCCATTGTGAGCCCTTTGCCTCTTCAGCGGACGGCCGCCCGATGGAGGGGTTTTATTGGAGCTCTTCCGACGTTTACCATCGGTGTGCCCCTTCACCATTTCCACCGGCGTACAAGGGGGAGCCACGGGAAGAGAGCGAGCCCCTTTCAGAGTCCTTGCTCTCATCCGCTTCGTCCTCCTTCTTTTGGCCCCGCACCGATTTTTCTTTACTGGAGGTGAAGCCTCCTGCCGCGCAGCCGGGCCGGCTTCATTTCCGGAGTCCTTTAGGGTTTAGTCCGTCACCACCGTCCCAGCTCCTTCCTCGGAGACCCGTCACGCGAGCCCTCCCGATTTCCCACTTCGTTCTCTAAGTTTATGTTCATTGGATTAGTCAAATCCATAGTGGTCCCACAAGTAGCAAGGGAATTACACGGTCCGCCCACGCAGAGCCCCGCATGCGTGGGTAAGGCTGGATATTCTGGGTTTTCGTCCGGTTCT